ATTAAAAAATGAATCTCATGAATTTGATAATTATCTTTACCTAACTTTTTTTATATTGGGTTATAAAGTCTTTATTAACGTTGAAAACTAATTCTATTTGTTAATATATAGTTAATTATGAAAAATCAATTCGCAAAGAATTTATGTATAGATAATTTATATTGTGCTATCCAAAACATTATTAAAGATAATTTTTATATTTTTTTGTTATGTCTACAAAAGATATTAATTTATTACTAACTGTTTTAAGTTCATGAGTATTTTCAAATATAAGTTGTGTAATGAAAATTATTTATATGATGATGAAAAAAAATATATATAGAAAGAATTTGTTTAGTTTATTATTAAATATTTTGAGTCTACGAACTATAATTTATTATAATTTACATAAATTGATTATATATTGATTTATAGATATTAGTAAAATTATTAAGCCCGCAAATGCGCGCAAAACACCTATTAATTTAAATAATGGGAGAATAAAGTGGTGTTGAAGGGCTGATTGAAGGAAAACGATCTTATCACTCACGCGGGTTTTTGCATGTTTTCTCCACGTTCTTGATTCCAGGTGGGGTTGATGTGTCACCACCCTTGGTTTGTTTCTCCGCAACAACATGCTCGCTGGATGATTCTTCTGTGATGCTGGTGGCACTCTGCAACACAGTTACGATATTTATTTGAATTTAAGCAAACAGAGAATACAAAAAAATATATAAGCACTACCTCACAAATGTAACTGCAGTCAAGGTTCGTGAAGACCTCACCAAACAATTGACCAAAAAGACCTGGTGGATAAATTATTATGTATTTTCACCTGCAAGAACCAAAAAGCCACAAGTACATAACCATAAAAGAAATACACATTTGTAGAGATCAACATACATACATGAATAATTATATTCTATATGCCTTATCTCTTTGCCTCCTCCTTTAACCTTTCCTCCTCGGGGTGAACGGTTCATCGCAAGTCTAATTGTGCAAGTTTGGAGAACTCTCTTTCCATCGGGTAGATTGAGTTCCATAAACATAATCAGCTTTTCCCTTAAATCTATTACTTTTCTGTTGGGGACAATTCTCCTGCTTCCATCCACAAGGTTTCCATATGATGGGTTCACATCTCGGTTAACTGCATCCATATCAAGAAACGCAAAGTAGCTTATCAAATAAGACTGTAAACTAAACAGTTTTCCTTTATAAATAGCTGAAGATGCAAACATGGTCCAAGAAACAAAATACTAATTTAAAAAAAAAAAAAAACAGCAACGAAACTAAAGAGAAAAAAAAACAGCAACGAAAAAACAGCAAACATGGTCCATGTCGATTGTTTAGTTTATAAAAACAGATTGTTAACAGGTATTTGAGTTATGATTGAAGTTTAAAACCTGATCGAGCAAACCATATGTTTATTTTTTACACGACTTTCTTTCTTTCAGATAAAAGAAGATCATTAATAGTATAAGAAAAGGTCTCAAATACAAAACAGAAGAAACTTTTTCATATCTGAAGAAAGATGAAGCTGTGTTATAGATTAAGGAAAAAAAGTAAGGAAATAGGTTTGAAACAATACTCACCAATTCATCGAGGAGTAAAATTTTTTGAGCTCTGAGATCTCACCATAGACGACCTCTATATATAGGAGGCTCGAGAAGGTGTTACAGGAAGAGGAGGCGTTTCATCGGCTGAGGACGGTAATGGTTGGCCCGATTAGCAGGATGAAGCCGTTAATCACAGTGTCCTGCAAGGAAAAGGGGAAAACATTAAGGCGGGAGGTTTTTACAGATGACGCAAAATCCATACAATCCCATAAACCATTAAACGGGAATTGATCTTAGCTACTAGAAAAAAATTGCAGAAACACACAAATATATTACAGTTTACTGGGTATAAGATTATTCCAGCACAACTAATGATACGTATAGAAGAATCTATATTATAAAAAAAAAAGAGGACGGATCTGAAATTTTTTAACTTTATACTAAACAAATACATGTGTGTGTATAATCAAGAGCAATCTGGGAACCTAATGAACTCATTTTTTGTAATATCGATTGAAGAGGAAATACAGGAGAAGGAAAGTTGAAAGGTTTAAGAACTCACACCATACACTACCCTTTATATAAAGGAGGATCAAAGGAGAAGCCGTTACAGGAAGACTCGTACAGGCGGAGGAAACTTGCATCGAATGATCAAAAACCAGAAACTGGAACGTCGGATTGGAACCAACAAAAGTTTTGGAACCTAAGTAGGGGTCATTAGTTGTAGTATTTTAATGAATTTAGGATTCTTTCTTGGATTTAGAATTTTTGTTAAATTCATTGATTTTAAAATCAAATAAAGTAGATTTCAGAATCAATACATTGATTTCAAAATCAAAATAACTGGATTATCATAAATCAATCCAATGGATTTGCAATAAGTTAAGTTTAACAACATCTCCAACCCCACTCCATAATTTACTGTAAAATGGAGTGGGAAATAGACTGATGAACAAACAAAAAAGTGATTACTCCATAAATATAAAAACTACGTACAAGATGTGTTTTTCTTGTTCTTGTTGTGATTCTCCCATTGACATTTTTACGGGTTTCAAGTTTTTGTTTCTTGTGTTAATTTTCTAACATATAATAGAGATTATATATACATTATGATGGATCATTACAATAGAAAATAAAAAACTATTATTTTAGTTAGAAAATGTAGAAATTGGACAATTGGAAATTAAAAAAAAAAAAGTAGAAAACTTTCGAAGGTGTGAGTGCTTGTGTGAGTGCTTGATGTTTTTCTAATGGAATTTGTTTCAAGACTACCGTTTAACAAAAGTCTTATTAGTGCTTTTCATAATTAGCGTATGCAATACACATATGAAAATTGGTGGCAAAGAAATATTAGGAAAACCAATAATATAGATGTATCAAAATAACAAGGTTTAACTCAATATTTGTTCCTTTGTTTTTTTAACTTCAAATCACTCCCAAATCCATTCAAATTCAAGTTTAAATCAAATCCTTACACAAATCATTATTATTCAATAACACCTTATTTTAAAATCTATTTTTAAATCACAAAACCAATAACAATGAATTTAAATATGAAATTTAAAATCATAGAACCAATAACAATGAATTTGAATATGGATTTCAAAATTACGGAACCAATTACACTGAATTTAACTTGTATTTTCAAATCCATTAAAATATATAAACCAATAACACCCTCTAAAACAAAAAAATCTACGCTTAACGGGCTCTAAATCTGCGTAGCCCAAAACCAAATAATAACATACCCAAAAAGCAAAAAAAAGTAGGTCCCACAAACACATGACGTGGATAGCTTTAGGAGCTTCAGAACTCATCTATTATATATAAGATTTTCTCCTAAATTTGGTTAAGAATATATAATTTATAAATTCTAAAACAAATCGTTGACACTAAATTATTAACTTCTTCATAGTTAAACATAAATATCAGCATCACAATTAAGATGTAAAATATGTAACCCAACAATTTAAATCATTATCTTCATATCTAGTATAAATATCATAGGTATTTTCAGTTTTGTAAGAGATTCATGTGTTTTCACTTTGTTGTTAGTTGTGTTTTTTTCTATTTACTTACACCCAAAATAAATTATAAAATATGAAAAATATATACATTTAACAAAGTAAAAATCATAAAAAAAAACACTTCAAACTATTGTTTGCTTCCAAAACGAATCAAAATTAGTAAAATATATAATAAACATAATTGTTATTTAGAATAATCTCACACTTTGAAAATGATATTCATAGTCTAGTTAGAGACTTAACAAAGACTAATTTGAGATTTGTTTTAGGTTTGTAAATAATATTGTATCTATCTATCTTATTAATTTAGAGTCTTAATTTTATTTACTAAAAAAATCATATTAGTTTAGAATCTTGATTTTATTTACTACAAAAATCATTGGACTATTTCATATATAACTTAATATCTTTTATCAGTTGATTATCTACACTAATCTAGCTAATATATAGTACTAGGATAAACCCACCCTACGGGCGGAATAATAAATAAATTTAATTTTAAAGTTTAATTATTTTAAAATAATTTTAATGATTTACTTTATAATAATTTTAATAATTTTGGTTATTTATTTTCTCTTAATTTTTATTGTAGCTTCACTATAACAATAAATCAACAGATTTTCTTAAAAATCTTGTAGATTAGAGATAGTAGAGGAAATTATTTTTGCTCTCACCTATGTATCTCGTTCATGAATTTTAGATTATTTTTATACATTTTTCTCATAACTAATGAACGCGTTATAAAAGAAATAACTTATTAGTTAGAGCTAAAAATATTTTAAGATATATTTATCATTCCTATTTATACATAAAGATGTTTGTTAGAAGCGTATAGGTATTTTTATATCTCAAAATAATTGATTAGAATTTTTAAATAAATATTACTGACTAACTTGTAAAATATAATCGGTACAATAATTTTATTATACATAATTAAATTATTATATATTGATTGTAGTTTATTGTTGAATACAATTACTTCATTTGTTAATTAGATATTTATAATTTAAATTTAAAAATATACATAGTTAAATTATGTAAATAGGTTATTACAATGATTTTCTATTTTCAAAAAGAAAACTTGATTAACATGTAAATACATTTTTTGCAAATGAAAATAATATGAACCAAAACATTTATTAATCTGAACCAAATGGGCTTTGTTATTCAAGATAACAAACTAGTTTACAGTTGCATCTCTTTCATCTAACACAGAGCCAGACAATTCCGGCATCAAGACACCTTCTGTCACCGAGCTCGGTTTAGTCAATAGAATTTTTAACGGAATCATACCAGAAGCTCTTACCACTGCAAAATGAAAGAGTCAAGACAATAAATTCAACTCTAATTTCAGACAAAAGTTGATGTAGTTAATAACAGAATATAGGGAGCTGAGCCATACTGAAATGGTTAGGATGAGTATGAAAGCTGCAAAGAGAAAAATCACTATGATCTACCATATTTGTAGAGCCCCGTATCTATTGGTTAAGTTTGTTTCAGCTCAGATGCCACGATTGTTAACAAATTCCTTTTGAAATGGCTCATTAACTTAAATCAGAAATGAATGTGAATGGAACAAATAAATCAAGAGTATAACCAAACAGACCAGAGACAAAAGATACTGAAGCTAATGGCGGTGCATTAAGTCAAATTGAATTAAGAAACTGTGAGTTATGATAATAGTAAAGAATATAAACATAGTACTACGTTAATTTATAATCTAATATCACAGTTTTTTTAAAATATCTAAATGCAAGAGAAATGAGAAAACATAGTATATAAGAAAGAGTGTATAAGAAATTAAAACAATAAGAAACTTAAAACAGAATATACATAATTAGATCTAAATTGTGTGCGTGGAGAGAACGATGAGATTTGGTGTGCTCTGCATTCCTATCTATAGAATGAGAAATTGGGAATATCATAGAAGGTTTCTGAGGTAATTAAGAGCACATAGTGGGGCATAAAAATGGAAGGCCATAACTGAGAGAAGTTATTAATTGTTTAAAAAACTCAGAGGAACGTTTCAATTCAGGGACTCGTAGAGGCTGAAGGGAAAATGGTAGATGAGAAGATGGCTAAGTTAGAGAAAAGAGAAGAAATGTTTGGGCCAATTTTATAAAGTCCAAGTCAAGTGGTTCAGTTATTATCAAAGCTCAAAATTGATTCAGTTCACCCAAAAAAAAAAGAAGACACGTGTCACATTTTCTGAAAGCTAATTAGTGGTGTGGCACCCTAGAATGAGGGAAAGGCCTACTTTATAATAATATAGATAGATCTACAGAATATCTAACAGTATATTTTCTGAAACAAACCAACAACCTTAAGCTATTGAAATATTTAGTTCGTGTTTGTTTGAATCAATCAAGGTTATATTTAATTTTATCCTAATTTGGTTAAGAATATATATATATATATATATATATATATATATTAAATTTTTAATTTGAAACAGTGTATTTGGTGGCAAAGTGAGATTTGGAATACTATTTTCTGTCCTCTTATACAAATCGTATTTTCTGGAGATTATCTTATTACACTCATATTTCATATAATGTATCTGGAATTAGAAAATGATGTCTATGAGAAACATATATTTATGTACTCATCTTGGACCCATACAGATTACTTGAGGGCAATAAACAATGTTTTGTTGTGGTTTGGGACTATAGGGTTTCTTCACATCTACCAGTTTAATTAGCTCCTCGAAGCATATCAGAAATATAATTTATGAGAGTCTTGAGTTGGAATTGTAGAGATATGAGACGTAAATGGACTATCAGTTATCTCCGTGAGATCTGGTATAAGCATAAGCCAGATTTTCTATTTTTATCGGAAACAAAGCAGGATTTTGCTTTTGTTCAAAGATTTCAATCACATTTCAGATTCGAAAATTTTGTTACCGTAGACCCAAATGAAAAGAGTGGAGGAATAGCTCTCTATTATAATAATGAGTATCGGGTTAAAATCCTATATTCTAGTAACTGAATGATAGACGTGGAGGCGGTGGCTCTTGGAAAAGCAATTTTTTAAACATTTGTTTATTGAGATTTGGTCATAAAATTAAGGGAGCAGGTGTGGGAGAGATTAACAAGATATGGATTATCGAGAACAACTTTGTAGTTTGTTATAGGTGATTTAAATGAAATCACTAGAAACCATGAAAAAGAAGGTGGGCAGCTGGGAAGTGCAGGATCTTTTGTCCCATTAAATAATATGATTAGGGACAGTGGTTTGCTAGAATTCCAGCTAAGGGGAATCATATGTCATGGCAAGGGAGGAGGGGGAAATAATAATTCGGTGTCGGCTGGACCGTGCTTTAGCTAACGAAGATTGGCATACTCTCTTTCCATGTTCTTACACAAAATATTTGGGGTTTAGTTGGCTCTGATCATCGACCGGTAGTAGCATTTCCTGAAGATAAAGTGTCCAGACGAGGAGGACAATTTCGATTTTATAAGAGGTGGATAGGACATGAAGGTTTACTAGAATCCATTGATAGAGGTTGGACTGCATCCAGAGATAGGGAAACAAATCTTTTGTTACCAAAATTACCAATTGTCACCATGAGATTGCAGCGTGGCGAAAGAATAAACAGCCATATGAAAAGAGAAAATCAGTGAACGCCAACAAGCTTTGGAGGAGGTAAAAACAGATGATAGTAGAACTCAAGAGGAAATTTTGGAAGTATCAAGGAAATTTTGGGAACCTTATAAGGATGAAGAGGAATATTGACAACATAAAAGTAGGAATATGTGGAACACAGCGGGGATGTCAATACCAAAATTTACCATGCTTTAATAATTTGCATATTACTTTTATTATATTATATAATGTATATGAGATATGTATCATATAATTATAAAGTATTTATCGAGAAATAAAATTCATTGCAAATATAAACCAAATAATGCAGTATATTATTTATACTTATATAAAATTTATATAAATTATTATTTATGATTTTAGTGGAACTGTATATTTACATAGGATCTTCAAAAAAGTATTATCTTATTATTTTATCTATTTGTGTCATATTTAAAATCGATCCAAAAGTTTTTGTGATCTTCTAAAATAGTGAACAGATATGTAAAACTTTTTTTCATTTTGAACAAATATTGGGTTTCTAGTTCACCTTAAATGCTTAATAATGTATATTGCTAATGTTCATATTACAAAACTATCTGCTTTCTTAAGAAAGTGGAGAACAGCCACTGACCAAGCGTACAAGCTGAATATGTATGTAATTATAGACCAAGCAGACAATATATAAACTAAATGGATTACATACATATATAAACTTTGAATCCATGCAGAGGAAAAGTTAGAATATTTTTAATAGGTGCATCATTGCTAAAAAAACTATAAGTCTATAACTAAAGTAAAAGTAGACATCAAACTTAAAATATTAGGGGTGCATAACTTATTTACCAAAATTTTAATGATTTTGAATAAAAAAAATTAGAAATACCACTGCTAGGTTATCAAACTTATTTAGTCTTAACTCCAATCAAGCTTTCATCGGAGCATCGTGAGTACGTAATTCACGCCCAATGATACTAACAACTTTTTTGAATTGTCAAAACGTCAAATCTCGACGCATCTTATTATCAGAAACGTGTCTTCCTCTGTTAAACGTATTTCTTTGATCTCCTAGCTCTGCTATGAGTGGAGATGGTGACCCTCGTGGTAGTTTCATGTCTTAATCGCAATGTAATTTAAGTAGTTGGCATCGACAAAACCACCACTTTTTTCTTTACGGAAAGTAGATTGGTTTGTGGTCTTGAGACATGTCTATGGCATCACCATTCCTACAGAGAACGTCTCTACCATCTCCTACATTTGCCACCATTAAGTGTCTGGAGAAACATAATAACAATCATGAGCAAACAAACCTACACTTAAAATTAAAGCTTAGTGATTCTGAAAATGGGTTTTTTCGAAGACATAAATTCAAATAAGCGCAGACATTGACATAGATATTCTTCGCTTACGATGTTTGTGGAGACTTGTCGTCTTCCACAAATATCCTTATGTTGTTTTCTACAAAGAAATCCTCTTAGATGAATCTAAGAACCTCAAATTCAATCTCTCATCACATGGCAAACCCACGAACCCCAACTAAGAAAAAAATAATTTTTTTTTATTGGAGATACTTACCGAAAGAAAAGTGGTGTGAAAGCTTGTGGACCATTGGGGGCTTTGTCTCAGTAGGCTCGTTCTGGTTTTTATCACAACTAAAAACCATACATCATATCAATAGATCAATGAATTCAATCACAACAAAGAACAACAGATACACAAATACTTGATAAATTCATAATTCTATTCAGCATTGGCTATGAGCTTCCTAAGTTAATTGAAAAGTATTTTTTTTACAATTGCATCTACAGGCAGTTCATACAAAGAACATATACTTCCCAGTCCAGTCTTATGGACATAGCTAAGTCGAGCTCGCAACGAACTTTGAAACTATGTTGAAGAAAACAAAATCTTACCCTGCCTAATGGTCTTAAAATTTGATGCAACAAAGAAAGCCTTCGAATATTATAAACAGCCCAACCCTAAAGGAGACAGAGAAGAAAACAAAAACACTTTAGCATCAACTAAAAATCAGACAACCTTTACTTAGTCACTGGCCCTTAAGCAACACATGAACATAAATAGAAAGGGTAAAGAAACATACAACTCGAGCTGAAAAGACACTACAAAGCTGTGGAGTTTGGTATATAGTACCGTCCACGATATTCTATGTAGCATCATTGTAATCTTGTCGAAACAATCTCTCTTGCTTACGAAAGACAAACATGTTTGGCTCAGTCAGTAGAATCACTGATCACATACTTTAAGCTTGTCGTCATCTTCATGCACAAAAAATTATAATCAAAATGAGTTAAAACCAAAAGATCAATCCTTTGATTGTCCAACACTCTCCCACGAAACAAACAGGCCTAAAAGTTTGAAAGCGAAGTAGCAAAGAGATGATTACGAAAGTTGAGAGTGATCGAGAGGGTGAACGGATCTCTGGTGAAGTTGTGCTGTTCACCATTGAAAGAGGGGATATTTATACTTGTACCTTCAGTTGGTTACTTTGGGATGTGATTAGGTCGACTGAATGCTTTAGAGTGGGTTAATCACGTAGAAGATGGTATTAAAGCAGGTATCAAGAGACGTTGAGACGTTACGGACAGGTTATCATCATGATTGTCGTTTAGATTTCTGGAAATTTTTGTCGGGCAATGTGAGAAGGTCAGAGGCAAGAAGACGGAGAAACCAACATTAACAATGGGCCTGAAATTGTCAAAAGCCCAAACAGATTTTTGACAAAACTTAATAATTATTAGATGCCACGTGTAATTAAATCACCTATGGATAAAAATAACTTCCTTTTATTGTATAAGAGACTCTGTTTTTGGGGTATTACTGATGCAGAAAAGGTGAAAGTCATAACTGATTTCTGTTTAAAACATACTTCCTCTGTTTCAATTTTGTTGTTGTTGTAGAGTAAAATTTTTGTTTCAAAATAAGTGTTTTATAATTTCAATACAAAACTTATTTACTATTCTATTTTTCTATTAGTTGAAATGTGGTTAGGTATATAGGAAATTATATTTTTTTCTAAAAAGTATGTAAAATTAAATACTTTTTTAATCTGTGTGTAAAAATTGAAAATGACAATTAGATTAAAATGGAGGGAGTATTAATCTGCATGGAATTTCATGCAATTTGTCAGGCCGAGCTTGAATTCTAGACCCAATTAACTAATAAAGGCCCATATATTTCTTAGGGTACTTGAGTAAATACAATAGTTTCTAAATACCGCGTCTAGCATGTGACTTGTGAGAGAGAGAGAAAGGAGTCCATCCATATCAGTTTCCTACGCAGTCTTTGGTCGGTCTCGGCGATCTTATCGGAGAATTAGATTGGAGTTGGTAAATCTAGGGTAGAAATGAATCGCCACCACGATCCCAACCCTTTCGATGAGGAGGAGGAAGAAGAAATCGTCAATCCCTTCTCTGTAACCGCCTTTTTCTCTCTTCTTGCTAAATCTACGCTTTCTACTTCTGCGCATTTTCTTTCATCGATTAAGGATTTTGTGCGTTTGTGACGGCAGTAGATGAATCTAGATCTCGAGTTTACATAGGATTTCAAGTTGATTACTCATTTCTGTTTGGAATAGTGTTTGAGGTTGTGAATCTCCTATTTTTCAGTATAGAGTTTAACGTACTGAACTGTATCGTTGGATCTGGGAACTCTAGTTAAGATTTTCCGAGAAACTACTAGCGTTTAGCCAGTAATTTGGAGTGTCTTATTTATAAATATGATTGTGACTCTTTCCTTTAGTTTTTAATTATCTTGAACATTCGATAATTTGCAGAAAGGAGGTGGAAGGGTTCCTGCTGCATCTAGACCAGTTGGATTTGGCCAAAGCCTCGATGCTACTGTTGATATTCCCTTGGATACCATGAATGTAATCACTTTCTTTTCTTCTTTTTTTTTAATTTCCCCGATATTCCTAATGAACCTCTTCTTAGTTAAGTTTATCTTGAATAATTTGGTGCAGGACTCTTCGGAGAAACAGAGAAAGCTTGCTGACTGGGAAGCTGAACTTAGGAAGAAAGAAATGGTTTGTACCACCACCACTGATATGAATTTTTTCAAATATGATCTTCACCGTACTTTTTTAGATTGATGTTTTATTTGCATGTTCTCTTCATTCAGGATATTAAGCGGAGAGAGGATGCTATTGCTAAATGTAAGCCAACACACTACTTGATGAAAATATTTTATTACTAGTTTTGTGTAACTGTAGCAGTGTCAATTAAGGTAAGCTAACAACTGATGTTGCTGCAGCCGGTGTTCAGATTGATGACAAAAACTGGCCGCCGTTTTTCCCAATCATACACCATGACATTGCTAATGAGATACCGGTTCATGCACAAAAGCTGCAATACCTGGCTTTTGCTAGTTGGTTAGGTATATTCTATTTGGTTGGTTTGTTTGTCTATTTCTGTGAAATGTTTTTACTGCGTTGAACTGACAGGGGCTTGTATTGTACTCTGCTGGCTTTCAGGTATTGTTTTCTGTCTGTTATTCAATGTGATTGCCACCATGGTCTGCTGGATTAAAGGCGGGGGTGAGCTTCACACTATACTACTATTATGTTTTATCTTCTGAAGCTCTAATTGAATTTACCTGAAGTTGAACTAATGATGGTTTTAATGTGTTCATGATAGGTGTCAAGATCTTTTTCCTTGCCATAATATATGCGTTGATGGGATGTCCACTTTCTTATGTTGTGTGGTACAGGCCTCTCTACCGAGCAATGAGGTAATACTCCTTTCTTCCAATGGAGATCCAGGACTGTTCATGTAATTGATATACTTCTTACGACCTTGTAGGACTGACAGCGCTTTGAAGTTTGGTTGGTTTTTCTTCACCTACTTGGTGAGTCATGAAAACTTTTCATATCTAAATTTTGTACCTTACCTATAAGCAGGTGTCGTTTCCATTTCCCATATGATTGACCTTTGCTCTTCACAGATTCACATTGGCTTCTGTATCGTTGCCGCCATTGCCCCGCCAATTTTTTTTCAGGGAAAATCATTAACGTGAGTCCTACAACCATAAGTCGACCATGTTTTAAATTCTAATGCGTTGGGATAACTTTGTTCACCTTCTTTCCTTTGTTCAACAGGGGTGTGCTTGCAGCCATCGATGTCATCTCAGACAGTTTATTAGCCGGGGTACAAGCCGTACATCCATTTACGCTTATAATATGGTTCTATTTACCTTGAAGATAGAGCTTAAGCTAAATGTGAGCTTAATGAATGAATGCAGATCTTCTACTTTATCGGATTTGGTCTCTTCTGCTTGGAGTCACTTCTGAGTCTATGGGTTCTTCAGGTAAGCCTCTGATAATACCTCTTTATAGTTTCTGTTAACCGCCAAGGGTTATGCAAATTGAACCGGTAAGCATCTGAGTTGATCGTTTGTTTTGGGTTTACAGAAAATCTATCTCTACTTTAGGGGGAACAAGTGAAAAGAAGGGAGACAGGATGATGGTAATTTTTCCCTTTAGATAAAAAGGACTGAAAATGTGTGCATCTCCAATGACTGTAATTACCATTTTACCATTTGATGCGTTGTGTTGCGGTTAAATTCTTTAGTTACTATAGTAGTAAGAGAGAGAGTGGAGTTATTAAGTGTTCGGCCATTTCTGTAGGGCTTTTTTTCTTCAGTATCTTCTTTTCCGTCTGTAACACAATATCGTCTGAACATTTGGATTCTTTTGCTCGACGAAGTGAAATATTAAAACAACCATAGCCATTAGGGGTAGGGTTAGGCACAAGCCTAGTACTCAATATTTTTGATATACTTAGTATTCAGCTTGGTTTGTACGAGTAGTAAATATTTCGACTTATATTTCTTAAAAACAAATACTTAGAATTTCAAATACTTGAAAAAATTTGAAGTAAAGTTATTTGCATTGTTTTATTACTTGTTCTTTGTAAATTACTTATAAATTTATTCATAATTATCAGTATATTATTTAATAATTTATTAGAATTTAAAATTCAATAAATTTATTATATAAATAATTTTTCATTGTTTTCTTGTATTTAAGTCATTCGGAAAATAGACTACATAAAAAGAGAAACCTATAAGATGTTATATAAATATAGCACTTATATTTGATGTAATTATGAAAATGAATTATTTTACTATGATTTAGATAAATATATCTTTGTTTATTAGCAAATTCAAATAACAAACAAAACAACATCAAGTAATTAGTTTATTTAATATTTATTTTGTACTTACAAGTAGTTTAAATAGATTACTTAATATTTAATTTGGTCAGAACAATTAATAATTTTTAAACATTATGTACCTATTAAGTAGCAAATAAGAGGTAAATAACAAGTAATTATGATACCAATAAAATGTAATACATAAAATTTAATTAACTAATAAAATGAATATCAAGTATTAATAAATCAAGTATATATAACAAATAATGGATAAGTCTATGATAACAAGTAACAAATCAAGTAGTTAAAAACAAAAATGAACTTGATACTTGACTTGTACTTGCGAGTAATAAATAATAAAATATGTTTACTTGTTATTCGACTTAATTGTATTAAATACTTGTTTTTTCAAACCAAGTCGAGTCAAGTAGCGAGTACAAGCCGGGGTATCAAGCATTTGTGTCCACTCCTAATAGCCATAAACTATTGGTAGTTGCTGTTTTGCTCTAAATGTTATTTGCAAAAAACCCAAGGTGGATGCTATTTCTTTAAATAAAACCCCAATTGGATACTACTACTTACAGTTACAGATATATAAAGTTAAATACTATTATTTTTTAAATATAGTTTATTTAATTCTTTAATAGTTGACGCTTTATATTTGTTCATACTTGAAATTACAACTCATGGTGAAATTGAAATTCATGCGTGTTAAAAATTGTGGTGGTGTCAAGTTCTCGTTATATATTCATCTTTGACTGTTCTGGGCTTCAAAGACCTTTGTTAAGGGCACGAGGGCAAACATAGAAGGCTTTGGTCTTTGACCAAAAAAAAAGGCTTTGGTCTTGGGTAGAGGTGTGCGTTTGGATTTGGTTCTAGTCTGTTCATGTTTCAAATTTTTGGAATTAGAGATTTAAATCCCAATTGAAAATCTATAAGTTTTGGTCTGGTTTTAGGCTGAATTGAGAAAAATAGTAAGAGAAATCAAGAATCATCCATATATTAATTGAAGATTTTTTAAAAAATTATAACTTCAATTTATATTAATTACAAAATGAATTTGTTGAGGTGTTATCTCTAAATTTGTCCTTAATATTTATGTGGTATCTAAATTTCTCCTTAATATTCATGTGGGTGTCCACGTCAAAAAAAAAAAAATTGACTAATGAAAATATTTCGTTTCGCCACGTCAGCCACTGGTGGACCCGTCTTCCTCTTTGTTTAATTTACTCGTGTGCTGTTTTTTTACACCCGTGTGTCGTTTGTTTTTGTTTTTTGCGTGTCGTTTTTCTCTTTCGTGTGATTTCTCTTTCAGCCAGATGTTTTGGGTCTCGCATGGGAGGTTCGCATTTAGGCCCGTTTGTTCTTCCATTCTCCTTCGGCGTATGGGGACTGTTCTCATCTTGGCGATGACTCGACCTCTTCAACTCCTCTGCCGATCTTTACCAATGAAACGCTTCCTCTTCAAGTAATTAGTCCTGATCTCCTACATATATATAGTGAATTCTCATTTGTCTTTCTACTTTTCTTCTCAACTGATTTCTTTGATAACCATTGCAACCGCCGTTGGTATCATTGGTTTTGATCTTCATTACCTAATTTATGTTATAAACAACAGTTCATGGTATTATGAACAAGATGATTCGAGTTTGTACTTTGCGCGTATTTGTCTCTTGGCTCTTTGGTTTTAATATATGAAAGCTGTTCCTTGTCTTTGAAACACATTTGAGGATTTTTCTTTCTCTGCAGGAAGTTCCAACAAAAGATCCCGTGTACTTGATGCTTGGTGCTTCATTTGGCTCGGTAGCCAAAGGAACTGGGCTCAAGGCGCTTGAATTTTCTCTCTCGACTTGTGATTCAGTGGATATGTATGTTTTCACTGTCGATCCATGTTATAAGGGGTGATATGAAGTCTACATATAATTATTTTGTTTAGATGTCTACATGTTCATGTTTGAAAATAATCTCATGTATTATTCTTTCAGGACTAGATATTTTTCAGAATCTCGACATGGACATACTCCTTTGCATGGTTGAGCTTACTACCAGATTATGAAATACTTGGGTGTAAGTATTTTTTTTCTCGGTTTCTTCATTTCAGATAGAAGTTCGCACATTTTATCTGCGGCAGATGGCAACAATCACTTGATTCGTTTATTAGAGATCTCTTCAAGCTTTTTGGTTTTGACTTGATTTTTTCTTTTTGTCTAGCTCATCAAAATAGACTCGCCTATGAGAGCTGATCCAAACCGAATTGTGAAAAGGCTGCCAAGTCGCAAAACAATTAGATCTGCAAGAACTGCAGCAGAGAAGCTCTTATGGTAATCAATTTCATCTTCTTTCTTTTGCACGCATTATCTGCCTCAAAAACTTATCAACTCTCTAAGAAAAACCCAATCAACGCGCAGGAGAGTTGGAGCAGGATCTTGAGACCCATTAGATTCATGCTCTATAGTAAAGAAGAGAAGCAAAAACAAACATCCAACTATCTCACACCCTTTATCTCAAAAACTCTCATCGATTCCTATACCAATCGCAGCTTATAACATCTCCTCACAAATTTATGCCTGTGATGCTCCAATTTCTCAAACCGGACGTTATGTACTCTTGCCGATGAGGTTCAAGTGACTATTTGAAGGTATTATATCACCCAAGGCTCTAACTTCATCTGTGACCGTAGCTATTATGTGGAAGCAGAGCTTGTCAAGTGTTGTTAGGTGCTATGGATTCAATGATTACTTATATGTAGAAAGTACACTGAGCCAATTATTTTCTTAGTAGCAATGCTACAAGTATGCTAATACCTTTGCTTCACTTCCTTATGAAACCTGAATCATATATAGTTATAATATGGCAACAAGCCTAATATTTGCCATTACATTTTTTTGGTATCGTCTTGGTTTAGGACTCTGGTTTCCGTTGCTTCAAGTCCACAGACCATCCAAAACCTAAAAAAGTGATTCCATCTAAAGCTTAACCGAAGAGGTAAGCCTTTGTTTTATGTCTGTTAATTCAACTTTCCGCATGATCATCCATTGTTGGTAACATATTTTTTCTCTTTTTTTTAACAAGGCTAGTTGGATCAAGAAACCAGCAATGTGCCTCTTTGGTGTTCTCTGTCATAAGCAGTAGCTTAGATGCTTGGCGGACACAGCAGTATGATTATTACCAATGACTCTTAAATGAAATACTGTGATGATGTTATATCTCTATTTTTACAGAGACAAGCAGCATAACAAGGATACTACTCAAAAGCATCCATTGGTATGTTTGGGTTAAAACACCTAAAACCATGTGTTTTGAGGAAGCCTTTTTCTCATAGTTGTAACCTGGTACATGAAACCAACCACACTTGTGAATCACACGTAGAAGAGAGAAAACTACAGTTTGTGAACAGATGATTTTGCAGAAGTTAGATTGTTTATCTTTACTTTGCAGGAGAGAAGAGAAAAAAAGGCAAAGACCTCAATAGTATTCCTTGGAAAAAGATTCAACAGGCCACTAACCAAGACCCGAGGAACAATAGGGTTCTTTAATGGCAGCCAGAGTGTTCTCAACTGTAGCTACGCAATCTCTGGTGCTAGCTCAGAAACGCTGAACCAGAAAGCGGGTTTAGTGAATTCATCAGTTGGGTTGGTCAGAAGAAACATACGGTTCATGTTATCAAAGCTGCACAAAGAGCTGGTGGTGAGGATGTTAATGGAAGAAGATATTCCATGGTTATCTCTTCTCCTCTCCTGCTGTATGGTGATGATGTTAATGGAAGAATATCCTTCATGGTTATCTCTTCAGACTTCACTTTACTATATGATATTGAAATTTGAGATGAATGGACAAATCAACAAGACATGACTTTAAAAATCTATCCTCACACACAAAACTTCAACGAACATATACAATAAATGTCACGGATTTGTTTTTAATTATTTTTAAATTTATGTTTATTATATATTTATTTTGGTCTAGCTTAGTATCTTTTTTATTTTCCCATTGTTTGTATTCATTGAATATTTCTGGCAATGTTTTGATGGTTCTTCTTCTCATAGTTTTCCATTCATCTCTTGTGAGATATTCACATCTAAGTTTGATGTTATTTTTAAGACTTTGGTGGAAGACAAAAAGGTCTTTTTCCTTATTCATTTTATTTGGATAAATTCTCAATGTTCTATTATGTTAGTTTTTTTTAGTTTTTTCACACATTAAAAATGGTTAGTGTACAACAATAAATATCTTTATTTATGTGTAAAAATAACTTTCTATAATTTTAGACCAATAGTTTTAATCAAAA